GTAATATATTATACGATATGTATGTATATACACATATACAGTTACATAAAAAATCTTTTCAAAGCATAAATTTTCAATATTATTTTTTTTTTAAAAAGTTTGTGCTCAAAGTACTGAAACATTTAATTTTTATACTAATTGCCCTTGTACCAAATTTTCACTATGATTTTGTATATTCCGTCCCTTAATATATTTATATTATATGTATAATGGGTATAATATAATGTACAATTATATATAAACAATTTAAATGTTGCCGAAATATTATTTAATGCTCTTCATATATCAGGATTTCATTTAAATTAATTGTAAAATTATAATATTAAGAATTAATAAAATTGTAATTAAGGATTTTAAAGATTCGTTTAAAGATTCTCTTCTATTTTTCAATATTTTTCAATACGTTTTTATTTCAATTAATTGTTTATCACATCCTGATAAGAAGCTAGAATAAAATTTAAAAAAAAATACTGAATGATGTCAAACAGCGTGATTTGATGCAATGCCATATACGAAACTACTTTAAGAACTCATGCGGTACGTTGCATATCGTGTAACACGTTGTATTCAAAAATATGCAATAGTAAAGTTGGTGTATTTAATTTTAAGCAATAGGGTGTCTGTTTGATAGAACGTTTAGGTTAAAAAAAAGGATAAAATAATTAAATTTAAAAAAACGGCTATAACGGGCACATATTATATAAGATCGTCTTAAGGAAACGGTAATCCTCTTAGTATAACGTTGAAAAGGTCTTGCAAATTTTTCATTAGCTTTTCGAAAAAAGTCCTTTTATACAGGCTCGGAAAGATGAAGTATGAAAAATTTTCAAATTTTATATAAAGATAAAATTATTTTACAACAAGCGGGAATTGAATTTTTTTTTAAAATTGTTATCTTTTATATCAAACTTATTAACTTTTTTACATAAATGAAGTAAAAATTAACTTTTTTATTGTTTTTTCCACAAAAAATTACAAAAATTAAGTAATTTTATTTCCACTAATTTAAGAGTACCTATAATAAATTTAACTTTAAAGTATACTTTATTATTTTTCTTCGCAAAATTGAAAGCTTAAGTTCTTGCGGTTTTCCAAATCTCTTATTGGTATGGGAATATTTTAAATCAATTTGAAAATAAATATAAATTTTTGGGTTTTTCTTTTTTTGATTATTGTTTTCAAAGTACATATTTATGTTATGTACTTAAAAGTAATCCACCATCACTTTATTAGAGGAATAACAATAAAAGGATAATATAAAATCATTTTTTTTTTCGTTACATTATTAAAATTACAGCAATAATAAAACTAAATAATGAAAAAAAAACAAAACAATTTTAAATAAAATTAGTAAGGTCAGGGTAAAGCACCAAAACGAGCAGGACTTTCGCAGTAATCTGAGAAAATTTTGAGGAAAGAAATGAGAATTTTATATACAGAAAATTAAAATGAAACCGAGGTAATTGCTTTGAGTTGAGAATTGTTTAAAATTAATTTTCAAAAATTAGGAAAATAAGTCCTTAAGGAATTTTAAAAACAAAATATATATATTTTCTGTTTGTGTTGCTGCTTTTGTTGCTTAAACACAAAAAAAAAAAAAAGAAAACTTTCAAAGGAAAATTTTTAACTTTGTTAAAACAAGAAGAAAAAAAAGCTACCAAACTTTTGTTTCTGTTCTAATTATATATATATATAAATAATTTGTATATATATTATTCTATTAAAAATTTTCTCTACAAATATACATATACCTATATAATTATAATATAATATTACATACAACAATCTATATACGTGTACAATAATGTGTATAAAGGAGGACAAATTTCTCAGGTCATGGTAAGATAAAAATTAAATTAGAGATTAATATTGAAGATTAAATAAAGAAGTTTTAATGAAATTTTCGTTAAAAATGGTTTCCCCTTATTTTTTCTCTTCTTTTATTATAGCTTATTTATTTGCGCCTTGAAAGTATGCTCAAGTATATTAAATACATTATATTGTGTGTATGCACAAAAGAAAAATTATTATTCTTATATTTTTATGTGTATATCCTTACCTTTATTGCTACAATATGTAGGTATTTAAATAGGTTCACTTTATTTTGAGCATTATTTTGGTTTGTTTTAGTATCACGGTTTACTCGTAATAGCGAAAAGAAAGCCAATATTTGAATGTTAAGAGCATATTACATTTGCTATATGAAAATTTCTTAAAATCTCATCAATTATATAGTGTTTTCTCGATATAATATTAATAAAATTCATAATAGTTAAGTTGAGTTTAAAGCATGAAAATTTAAATATCAAAATTATTATAATATTCATGTAACTATTATACATTTATAGTAAGAAAATGTGCAAGTTCAATGCCAAATTAAAAGCTAGTATATTACATTAATTTATATGCTTAGTACATAAAATAATAATAACGTGTGAAAATAATGACCTACTTACAAAAAAATATGGATAATATTCTTATTAAAAAATTTTTTTTGTCGGAGGAGACACTAGAAATGTTAACAAAAGTAGAAAATTCTTTCTTTCAAAATTGCAGTAATACTATTGAATAACAAGACAATACTATTGAATAACACGGCACTCTAGAACTAATTTCTGTTAGAATACCGTATTACAGCAATTTTGAAGTTGGACAAGTTTACTTTCGACTACCGTATGGCTTTATATTATTTTACTTTTTTAATAGTTTCTTTTAAAAGCTGAATTTGATATTTATGCTAAATGCACAATATTTTCACAATTTTTACAATTTGATAATTTGATTTTTGTTAAATTTAAATAATTTATTTTATTATAAACTTCCGTCATCAATTTCCTATTCTGTCATTTTTTGTGCATAAAACAAGTAGGTTCCCAAGTGTCCTAAACATAATAATGTAAAGGCGACTTTAAAACAACAATAATAATAAAAAAGCATATTGTTTTACAAAACAAAAAAAAACAGCAAGTAAGAATAAGAAGAAGAAGGAAAAAGAAAACATTTTCACTTTTCAATTTCTTTTGTGTGTTTTTTTGCTGGGGTAGACCACAATAAATGAGTTTTTCTGCCACCAATTGAAAAAATAAAATTACGCCGGAAGTAAAAGATAAAGAAAACAAAAAAAAAAAGGAAACAAAAATTATTATAACAAAGGTATGTGTGTATAAAAAGTACATACAGACGAACAGAAAATATTATTTTTTATATAAATTTTTGTATTTTATAGAAAACTTTCTAGATTGTTTTCTTGCTACCCTTGTAAATTTTCTTGCATAAAATCGATTCTCAAATTACTTTGGGTAGATAAAAAAAAATGGAAAATTCAACAAGTTATCGATCGATTAATTTAGCTTTGTTAAAAAAACAAAACAAAGAAAAAAAAAGTTTAACAGTAAAAGAATTTTCCTAAAAGATTTTTTTTTGTACGGTTTTTGTTTTTGTTTTTATTAGCTGTTTTTTTCTTCATTGCTTAGAAAAAATTTCCTTTTTTTTTGTAATTTTTCTGTTCTTCTGTTGGTTCTTTCTTATTTTCTACTCACATTAAATTCAACATTTTAATACAATATAAGATTTTCAAAAAGGATGAGGACTTTTCGGGAATGAGGACTTTTCGGGAATAATTGTAAAGCTTTACCGCAAATTAAATTTGTGTTAGTACTCGTATAAAGCATAATCATATTTATATATGGAGTAGCTATGTATATTACTTTTAATATCACATAAATTTAATATACCTATATTCTCGTATAATTATGTGATGTATAATATATAAAATGTTGTTCTTTATAATTTATAATTCCTGTTTCCTAGAAGGCAGTCAAATTTTCGACTTTAATAATGATAACAACAATAATATTATAATTTTTGTTATTCTTTGTAAATTTTTGTTTTGTTTACTTTTAATGGTATAACAATTCATAAACTGTTAATTTTAATATCTAAATTATTAAAGTAATTGAAAGAATATAACTTTTATTTTATTATTCTGTAAACAAAAATATATACTTAATGTTCAAAAATAATATGGTGAAATACTAATAAACAAAAAATATTTCCTTAAAATAATAAAAACGTAGAAAATATCATTTAATTGTGAGAATAATTTTGTACACTTATTAATTTGTTCACTGTTTATAGGATAAAAATTTTAAAAAATGATGTAAAGAATGTTTTTAAGAGAGCAGATAATTGGCATCTATTGAATTTTAAACCTTTTGAGAAAATATTTGTATTATACTTTTTAAAGTGCACTTAGTGAAAAATTGTCATACAAAGTTAAAATTGCATGAAGCAAGCACGAAAAATGGATGTTAATTATATTAATAATCATTAATTAAACAAAGAGGAAAAATAAATGATAAGGGCTCTGAGGAAATTAGAGTTTGTTAGTATGAGATATATAAAGATATTGGGTTGTTTGTTAGCCATGTTATGGCTGATATTAAAGTCAAAATTTTTCGTCGAGTATGGCATAAAATCACTCATATGATTATCACACGTCAATACATTGCCATTAAAGTGGAAGACATACGAAATTTTAAAGCAACATTGTTTTCGAAGAAAATTTAATACCTGACACTTGTAAATGTTAAGTTCTACATTAATGCACTGGTCCATTAACTGAAGGGTTTCGACTCAATTCTAGTCATGTCACTATAAAAATTAAATTTAGTTTCTTTCCAAGCACTTTAAATGCTGGAAAAATTATTTTACACAGTTGCTTAATGAATGAAACATGCCTTTAAATAAATGCACGTGCTCTACAAAATTATAATTGTGATAATTATTAAAAATCAATCATTTTAAGTACAAATTTAATTTAATTTAAGGAACTATTTTTCCACTATACAATATAAATATTATAATTACTTGAATGATTCTATTACATAACATTAAAAACTATTTAAAGTCTTTTTTAAGTATCTTAAATCATTAGGCACGAATATCGTATGCAATATTACGTCAATGTTTCAGAGTTAAAGCAGTTTGATCTTTTATTTCTAACTTTTATTTTTATTTTCAATATCGTCGTGAACTATATCGATTTTGTGATTACCACTATCTGCCACTTTATTATTTTTGAAGACTTTATAATCTATTTTTTGGCTAAATCCTTCTTTTGTATTTATTACATCACCGTTCACATTGTTTAATTCAATACTTCTTCCATTTTTTAATTTTTTTTCAGTATTTTTAATTTCGGAGAATAGGGTAGAATTATTTTGAATTTCAGGTTGTTGCACATCATTTGATATTTGAAATAACTTTGATCTTGGTCTAACTTTTTTTATTTTAGATTTTCTTAATGGCGGTGCACTAAATGGTCTAGGAAGCCATTTCTAAAATGAAATTATATTTATGTAATTAATAACAATAACTATTTTTACTTACTCTAAAGCTATCATTCTGTATTAAACTCTGAACGTTTGTATCAAATTTTATTCGATTCTTTAAAATTTTATAATTAAATTCGATTACACTATCTAGCCATTGAATTCCTTTTGTAAATCCAGTATCATCATCTAAACTAAATTCTTCTAGCAACATTGGACATTTATATCGGTTTGCTAAATTTTCTAAATTATAAAATTCTTCAATATCTGAAATACTGATATTTGTTCCTACAGCTAAATCGGATTTTGTTAAAAGAATTAAAATTGGTTTTCCTTGTATAAATTTATGACGAACTATTTCTTCTAATTTTTTGAAACCATTTGGCAAATTTTTTATATCTGATAAATCGATTGCAAATATTACTCCCATTGTCTGAAAAAATGTTTAAGGATTATTTGGTAAGCTTATCTCAAATAACTTTATCATTTTTAAAAAATTCTATTTAATTCCTTTTATTTTTTTGATATACATATATAAAACACATGTCGATTTCTACATTTTTTTAAAAAGGAAAATATATTTCATTCTCAAAACATATACAATCAGAATTAAATGCTATTTTTAAAAAATTATTAGAAAATTTAAATACCTACCTTTACAAAATAGTAATGCCATATTCTTTGCATATCAACACTGCCCCCAATTTCTGTAATATTCCATAGTATATACCGATTGCATTTTGTAAATCTTCTTACACCATTTGTTGATGCAAAATCTTTTCTTCTCTCATATACTAATTTGTGTCCGATTTCTGTTTTACCAGAATTTGATAATCCCAATAGAAGGATACTAAAAATTTTCCTTAAAAAAATTTTTTTTAAAGTGAATTTTTTTTTATTTTCTTGGTTTTTATTTAAATAAATAAATTAATCTTACATTTCATTGGAGCTCTTTCTTGGAAGACATATACAGTATTTACGAAGAGATTTTAGCATTATATTTTGATTATTATTTTTCTTATTAAATTCTATTTCCATATGTGCATTATTTAAAAGTAAGTTTCCATGGTTATTCTATATTATGTGTATATCTATAAAAGCAAGTTGAAAAAAGCTTTTGTCAGTACATACAATCATAAGATTCAGAAAGAGAATATTTTTGCTTGAGCCTTACAAAAAGTAAAAAAAATGAGATTTAAAAAAATAAGAAGATAATAAAAAAAAAATTTGCCAACAAATCGCATTTCCTTATTTTATTTTATTTTAATAAATTAATTCTTAAAATTTTAAAAGCTAGAGTGCCTAAAACTAGAGTGGGTATTAAGAAAAAGTAAAAGAAATTAAATTTAATCAATTTTAATAATAGTGTTGTTCTTTCATATACTAATACTTTGCAAAAAAAATTTTACTCGAAATAGTCAAGTTGGATTGCGTGCTAAACTCGTAGTTTTAAATTTGAGCCAGCGTGTTGTATCGCATCGTAATTGTGTACAAAATGGTGCCGTGTTTCAGAAAACTAAAACTAAACTAACAGAATTCCTTTTATGTAATGAGGTTTGAAAATTATTACTTTTAATAGCCCCACGTTTAACCGAATAATCTACGTATTTTTAAACATCGACAATTTAAAGAGCACTTAAAACTAACCTTAACGTCGTATATCTTAAGAAAATACGATATTATCGTTTCTGTTAATCAATAGAATGGCTAGAATCATTTGAATTATTTGGAATAGATTTTTTAAAAAAATTCAATATTCAAATTTCTATAGAAATTTTTTTTTAATATTAATGCTGTTTGCAATTTATATTAAAATCAATATCAATATTAGAAAATTATTTTCAAGTGCACAAAGCCAGAAATGAAAATTGTTTAAATCTTTTATTTCTTTGCAATAAAAAAATTTAATTCCTTGTAGTACCTTGTTCAGTCTGCAGGAGAACTAAGTACATATTATTTTCTTTTTCGATTAACATATTATAGGAAATCGGATTCATACTATGTTAGCAGATGAAATCTTTTTGTTATTTATTTATCAAATTATTTTAACATATTTTAATTTTTGAAAAATTCATTCTCATATATGTTTGTATATAGTAGATATAAGAAACATGATTCAATTTCACATTTCTCTTATAGAATTTTTTAAAATTAAATACTTTACACATCCTGTTGTTCGTGAGTAAAATGTTATTCGGAATAGTGTTAATCAGGTATAAGAACTAAAAATATCGTATATAACTTGAAATAAATAAATAAATAAATTATTAACTTGTATGGAACATATAAAAATATTTTAAGTTAAATAAAATTAATAATTTTTTTTAATCACAAATGGAAATCATTTAAAATTTAAATATTTTATAGTAAATTACAATTTTAATTATTTTATAATATATCATAGTAGATAAATAATATACACATATTTACATATTGTACTGTTTTAACTGTTAATACAAAAATCTACCTTTCATGCACAAATTTTGAGTAACTTCTGTAGATTTCAATCATAAAAATCCTTATAATTTTAGAAATAAGTAATTCTTCTTCAAAACTGACGACACATTTTATTATGACGACTGACGACATAAAATTCCAGTGCACACACATTTACATAAACATAATAATTATTATATAATAGAATATTTGTGCTTGTACTTACGATTAAAAAATTTTTCCAAAAAATTTTCATTTTCTTCCAAGATATTTTAGTCAAACAGGATTTTTTTTAATTTTAAAAGTTTATTAAAAGCTTAAAAAATATGTTGCAATAATTAAAAAAAAAATTTTTATTTCAAAATTTTCCTTTATAAATAAAATATTTTAGTTTGAAAAGTTTTCATCTTGAAAATATTTTTCGAAATCTTTCTATATTGATTTTGCAAAAGTATGAAATTAAAAAAGTTTTTTTTTTATGTATTTCAATGAAATGAGTATAGGAAGAATATAAACATATATAAATAATATGTATGTGATCCATACAAGCGATTTTTTTATTAATTAAAAAACCCATATGTTTCATGGGTAATGAAACCCATATTTGAAAAGTTTTTATACAAATTTCAAGAGTTTTCACAAATGATCACACACATATAATATGCATGCAATAATAAATAAGCACATTTTAAGATTTACGATAAAAATTACTCGAAACAAACCCTGAATTCCTGTACCATCCTTAATATATTAATTAAATTTTCTTATAGCTACGAGTATTTAAGTAGGTGTTTAATTTTATAGTTTTTTCTTTATTATTGAATATTTTTACACGAACAACTGTATGCTGAAGCTGACAAATAATCGTCTCAAATATAGATGCTAATTTTATTGATATATTATAATTCCTTGCTCAGCGTGGAGTTTTAAGGCGATTTAGCCATCCAGCGATTATTCAAAAATGAAGTAAGTAAAATTCGCCAAATTTTTAAAAATGATTTGATACTCGTATTGTCAATATCGAAACACTTTTAAAATTAAATGATATCGAAGTACTGATTATACAACAATCGAATAGCTATCATACAACTTTAAGAGTGTATGTACAAACGAATATGCATGTGTGGCTGATACATGTATGGGACTGGATAGAAATTGTCATATAGCTCCTAAAATATTTCACTTGTACAGACATCACAGATATGACATGTTTTATTCTCAATTTATTCGAAAAATACATTCAATTTTTTGAATTCCAATAATTTCTCCAAATCTTATTTTAACAACAAATATCAAATTTTGTTTTCGTAATTGATGTATAAGTAGAAAAGTGTTATATTAAAAATTATCTTAAATATTTTAAACGAAATTTTTAATTATACCATATTCGTACCGAATTTTAAACAAGTACTTTTAATTTTAACTCAGAATAATGTTTTTCATAGTATCTTACTCAATTATTCTTACAATATTTGAAAAAAATGTTAATATTATTCAAATCAAAAATTTTATAGTATGTACTCAGGTATTTATTGAATTACCCACTTGTTACAACATAAGAAAATAATTTCTATTTTCATGAATTTTCACAGTAAAATTCAGTTGAAAGTTCTAGATCCATACATAAATACATAGTTAATTGTGCTCGAAACCTTAAGGTTAAATGATTTTCATTATTTATAAGGTTATTTTTTTTTTCTTTGTTGAATTGAAGATAATGTGTGAATTTCAATACATAAAAAAAAATAATTCTTATAAGGAGCCAAAAATATAATAATAAAAACAAAAACGATAAATTGAATTTGTGAGGAAAAAAATAGAAAAATTTACAACAATTCTTTTGATAATGTTGACGTTTGCTGTCAATACAAATTTCATTAATCATTTTCTTTACAATTTCATTTTTCACCAACCTACGCTTATTCGTATCATATTACATGAGATTATACGAATTTTATGTATACGTATATATTATATGTGTGTATATAATTATATTTAAGCTTTTGTTGCCTGTTGCTTTGATTTGTTTTTCATTGATTTCTAAAGAAAAGCAACGAAAGCTTTATGAATTGGAAAACACTATGAATTTTACAATACCTTAAGTTTTCATTTTCTTTCTCTATTCGGTTCTGCTTGTTTTTTTGATAAAGAAAAATTCGCTTATTCATCACATGGCATATAAATCACATCAATTTCCTATAACGGAATTTAAAATTTTCCTTGTTTTTTTGGTTTTCCTTTTTATTACAAGTTATTTTTCAAATCATTGTTTCTAAGTAATCAAGTTTTCCATTTTGTATTTTTTTTCTAGCTAATGTTTTGATGGAAAACTTGTAAAAATTTAAGAAATTGAGACTGCTTTTTAAGTATTTACTTGTCAATTTTGTGAAAAAAAAACAACTTTAAAATTTTTTTTTTTATTTTTAAATTACAGTCGAGTCAGTAAAAGCAGTAACGTTTTTGGAATTTTTTTTTTATTTTATGAAAAATTAGAATACATATGTACATAGTTATGACTTGAATTATTCTGAGGGTATGACCAGAAAAATTTTATTTGCTTTTAAAAAATACGTCAATACCAATTATATCATAGGTACCATCAGCACTTTTATATAAGGGTTTCCATACCAATAGCAATGAATTACAAATTTTGGTAAAGAAGTAATACAAAAAATCATATTGAATTCTTGCTTTCAACAATCGAGATGAACTTGAATGAACGAAATTTTACGATAATAAAAAATATTAAAAATATTTTTAAGAAATCTACCACAAGCAGAATTGCTGTTGACTGAAAATAATATTCTAAAATTCTGAACCATTATTAAAGATGAAATAAAGAAGAGTTTTGCAAAGTTATGAAGCTTATTTCGCTTATTAGCGAAAAAGAACTCTTCTTTTCTTTTGTAAATTATTCCGTGCACTTTTCAATTTTTTGCCTTTAATTCATGAAAATGTTATGTTTTTCGTTTATTCCTCAAGTATTTTAATATACACTGCTAAAATGAAACAATGACGTTCAACTAATACTTTAATTTTCGAATAGCGTCAATTTAAGCGACTGCACTGTAATTTTTTATTAAATTTTTTTTTTCGTTTCTTTAAAACAAATAAATTTAAGACAATAGAAAAAAAACTAAATAGCTGATAGAAAACTAGGAAAACTTTTTTAATTTTTCACAAACCTTGGATTCTGTTGTCTCAATTTTTTTTTTTTTGTCTTTTTTAATTCTTACAGTAATAAAACATTTTCCCTAGTATTTCTCAAAATATAAGAAAACACAAAAACTGAAATCTCTTCGTTCTTTTTATTGTTGTCAAATACTATGGTTCTTGGTTTACTTGAGGAAAAAAAAAGTTAAAGATAAAGAAAATGAATAAAAAATTGAGCAAGGAAAAACTTTTGTTTAATTTTTTATTTATTTCAATTTTTTTTTTGTTTTAAAAGCAATCTGGTTGCACAAGAAAAAAATAAAAGCAAAAATTAAAGTAAAATAAAAAAAACAAGCAAAAACGTAAACACTGAAATTTTTCTTATATTTCTTGTTAGAAAAGGCACACAAACACATTCACAAAATGCTTACCCATCTAGCTTAGTAAAA